ATAGCGAAGAAAAATATTCATATACGAAATCGAGGAATATACAAATTTTGTGTCATTACACGAAAAGATGTCTATAAATGTTACAATATCTTGATACTTGACCAGAAAGAGGGCGAAAGAAACTATCAACCTTTATGCATTGATATGAATCCTAAGTATCAAGAATGTTGCAATAAATCGACCAGTAGACCCTCGTAAGTGAATTATGTTCGTTCTCACGTGACCAACGGTCGAGGCTCCCGTGATCACTCATCCTGTCCATCAATGGAAGCTATTCGTCAATGTGGACGCATTACTTACGACAGAGGCTTTTTCACCACATTTTTGTAGTTTTTTACACGAAAACACGGTTTATAAATCACTATTCCGTGTACTGTGTCCGCTAGATGGAGTTGTTTAGGTGAGAATGGTTTTAAGGTATGCATTTTTTAATCTTCCTATCTCCAAAATACTTTTAACAATCTGCAAACTTACATTAAAACAACTTCATATTATAATTGTATTTCTAATTTCCTTTAAATACAAATTACTTTCAATTGTGTTTATTACGATTATGAACTTGTGTGGTTCTGAGTACATTTTTATACAAAACAAACGTAATTTTAAAAGTTATAGGTCCCATATAATTCAAATGATCCTATTGAATAACGCAATAGGGAAGCGTCTAAATCATCTATGCCTATATAAGATGGCTTCGCGCGATGTCTGTGTAAATCCTCGATTAATCACTGTCTTGCACAGACGAGCGCGAGGCTTTACGCGAAGAGGATTGCGATAAACTCATGCACGAATTACATTTGTACGTAAAATATACAATACAATATAATAAATTAATTGATTAGGTAATAAGAGGTCTTGTCATAAATTCCTTGTAACTAATGTTTTTTGTAACGTTGATTTTTATATTAGAATAGCTGTTGCCCGAAACTTTCGCAATAATAAGATAAAAAAAAGTAGCCTATACTATGCCCGTCTATGTCAGCTACCCTTTAGTGAAAGCCCGGTCTAAATCAGTCCAGCTATTTCGGAGATTTGGACAGCAGTCTCGGGCGTAAACCGATAATTCAAATAATTTCGATAACGTTACTAATACGTTCTCGAAACTGTCGCATTTATAGATCATTTAAATAAAACAAGATTTTTTCAAATACATTCATAGTTCGTTGAAGAGATAACTTTTGAATACTTATTTATATGATTGTATTTTTCTTTGTATTCACATTCAAACTTAAATTATTAGATATTAAACTGATGTCATAGAGTTACATAATTCTTCTTTGATAGTTTTGTCTAATATATCTTGTGTTATATAATATTTTATCATATTTTGGCTTACAGCCATTTGTAAAATGTAACATGGAAAAAACTAAAATGGAATGCAGTTCAAGTTTCCAGTTTCAATTTGCGATCTATTTGCATCCGACTGAATGGAGCCCTAAGCAAATATTTTCACGATAAAAGCCCTGGTGTCGGAATTAATCCGCAAATTGATATCTAGGCCACTGACAGCTTTTAGATTTAGATCGGTCTGGACATTTATACAAATAGTCGTGCCTGAAATTATCTATTTAATGTGTATGGAAATAATTAATAGCTAGTATATGTAATATTGCATTATCTATCTAAACTAATGTTATAAAGAGCAAAGATTTATATAATATTTTTGGATTTTTGTATATATTGAAATAACTCAATAACTACTGCGCCGATTTAAAAAAATCTTTTACCATTAGGAAGCTACGTTATCGCAGAGTGACATAGGTATTTTTTTTTATTTTCCCGTAGGCGAACTCGCAAGCAACAGCTAGTAATTAATATAAGTGGACCTAAATTTCATAAACTTTAACTGTACGGGAGTTAAAATGCAACTGGAGGGAGTAAAGTTCAATAAGAATGCTTTTTGCGGTTGAGGATAACAACGGCCATATTACACTGGATTTCATTTATAAAAGGAACAAATAAAATGCCATAGAATCTAGATTCTCGTATATCTTTGAATATATGGTTATTTAACATCTGGTATTTAAGTCACGGACTAGCCCGGCCAATGTAACCGGGTCAGGAAAGTTAGTTAAGATTTCAAAGCATCGAAGCATGCTATGAAATTTTAATTCCTTGAAGCGGACTCAAGAATTGTAGACTCCACAAATAAATAAAAACTAAATGACGTCATTGGGTTTGTACATTTTGAAATGTAATGTGAGTTATATTCCCAGATTAAGTAGTTTACATAAATGTGGGCTTTCACAGAATATACGCTAATGAAACCTAGATTTTTTACCTCTTTTCTTAAGAGAACGAGAAGGGTCACAATATTTTTTGCAATTGTATTTCGTGGAATGTCATTGTAATGTTTTCGAATTTTTGAGCTAGCCTCCACAGCATTTATCTAAAATAATATGTGACAGCTGCCCATAGAGTATAGGTGCCCTGTCTATACGTCCCCCCTTTCAAATCCATTTTCCTTTCGCATATTTTCCTTGATCGCAAAGGTTAGGAAGAGGATAACACAAACACGATTTTTAATAAACTCTGTGACAAAGTATTAAGCAAACATTTCAACAAATGCTTTCATGTCGCCAAATCTGCAGGAACTATGTAGGTCACTAGCAAGTTTCTCAACCTGAACTTTGTGTAGACATTTGTATAAAAGATTTCACAACAATACAGCAAAGCAATTTGTTCACAACAAATGTTTTCTAAAAAATATTAATATAACTCAATGTTAACGTTACAAATTTAATTACTCCTATTTTAAAATAGGAAAAATAGACAATTTGTGTAGTTTAATTTTGGTTTTGATTGAATTGAAATAATAAAAAAACAAACTTGAATACGATGATCCGTTCAGTTCTTTAGGCGACAAACTCTAACAAACACCCATCCATCCATCAATCCCTCTAAACTTTCGTATTTATAATATTAACTAGTATGAAAACTATAGTACCATGTGCCAGTAATAATAAAAAGATCAAAGGTTTTTTAAACAAATTCAAAGTAAATTCTGAGTCAAATAAAATGAGAACAAACAAAAAATCAAGCAAAAGTACTTAGGTAGGGAATCGCGCGTGCCTTTGCAGAATTAATCACTCGCTTCTCTAAATTTAAATGTCTTCACCCAAAAGGCTGCGGTTTTATTTACTTTCAGACGCCAAAGAGAACAGGATTTTATCTTTAATGGTCCATATTTTAAGATAGAAAAGCAACCATTGTTTGTTTACTTTAAGCTTGAGAACATATCAAAGTTATTTACAAGACAAAATTATTCAACGTTTTTGAGAATCACAAACATCAATTTTAGTAATATTGTAAAAGTGTGATATGCTCTATTGTATTTTATGATCAGAAGTATTGAATTCAGAAGAGAAGAATTCGAATTCTTAACAAGAAATGTTACATGCTACAAACTTCTATTTAGTTATGGTACATAACTTACTACTTTTTTATTACTCCTAAAAATAACTTAAAGATTTTATTCTGATTTTAACTTTTTCATTGTACGCACTACAATTGAATCAGACGTATTTTCACAATTCTAGACAAAATAATAAATCACAAAATCAATTTAGATTGTCATAATAGAGCATTATTAGTTATCAATAACATTTCTTAAAACGTTATTCAATCTAAGGTATAAATAAACTCTATTTTAAATACCGGAACAAATCGCCGGGGGCGAGCCCGAGCTGTTGACAGCTAAAAGCTTTTTAAGGTTTGATAAATGTACCCGGATTTGCTTCGTTTATCTTCATTGCATTCACAATCACGTTTAATAATCATGGAATGGTATTGTAAAGCCAGAAAGTAAATGTATAGACAAACGTTTACATAGATATTTTATATAAGGGCTAGCTTCACTCGCTACTCCGTTCGCGCGGAATAAAAAGACTGATTTAGAATTCTAAGTGTTGTCTACAGCGGTCGTTTCGCCATTTTGGCGGATACACGAGGCCCCTAGCTCTTTTGCAACCTTCAAACGTTGAGCAAGTTAGCTCATAGAGTTTGTCTATTTTAATTTGAGTAGAATTTTCGCATTTATAATAGTGAAAGAAAACGGTTGAAGCAATTACCCTACTTTCATTAACACCTTACTTTATTGCAAAGACTTTTATAGCGGTTTTAATGACGGTATGGTCTACCCGAGCGAAGTGTTCACAACTCCCAAACACACTTGTTTTATTATCCTTACAACTAAAGTAGAACTTTTTCATTCATCATTTTTCGTTTTCCGTTAGTCCAAAGAACAAAAAATCGTCTTTTTTAAGGATTATCTCAAAAACTGGTATTTCTTATTTCTACTCGAGAAAATCTCGGATATAGTCTTATGTTCTTTTAGGTGTAAGGGGCATACAATCGGTGGGAACCTCGGGGTGATCATCGCTGTATTCAAGATATTTTTTAATAGATTTCCTATAATTAAATTATAAAAAGTAAACTAAAAACTATTATATTTAAGGTTGCCTTGCTACATTATAACCTTAACATTACTTGCTTTTGTTTTTTTTATTTCAAAAGCTGAAATTTTATATATACTCAATACCAGGTGAATAAATGAACCATCGCAATATGCACAGAAATGATCAATATTTCAGTCACGATCTAGGTACGAACTTGCAGACTGTAATTACCGAACCAGGTCTGGAGTATGAATTCGCAACAGCTGCATAAAATTACCATATTTAATCGTTTACATAACGCGTAATAAATTTTCATTTATACGTATCTTAGTTACGTTAGATGTTAATATTACCATACTTCAGATGAAAATTACTACAGTTATTATAAAATGGTACTTTAATATTCTACCAAAGGAGTTGCATTACTCTATTGCTTTTTAATACATTTTTGAACACTAGCAAAAGGTCCAGTTATTTATGTGAAATTTAATCATCTGTGTTAGACCCTTCATTCATTATTCAATAGTTTTTATTAGCTAGAGTACTGGATTTAATTAGGTAAGGTTAGTGGGATAGTAATCCTTAGATAAGAAACTAAAAGAATATTATTAAAACCTGATAATTTAATTTCAAACAAACCAATACTTTCAAATTACAATAATCATTTAATTTTACATTTCTGCGTCCAATCACCAGCTGCTGCGTACTTCAACGGATCCAAATCTGAGTTTTCCTTCTTTTGTATTCCCGAAATTAATAGTTTGAGCTTAGCTATCGCCTGCGCTGGATGCAAACCCTTCGGACAGTCTAACGAACAGTTCATAATAGTGTGACATCTAAATGCTTTGAAATCGTCGCGTAAATCATTAATTCTTTTCTCAGTGTCTTCGTCTCTTGAATCTATGATCCAACGGTAAGCGTGTAACAAAGACGCTGGTCCTAAAAACCTTCTCCCATTCCACCAGTAGCTGGGACAAGCAGTCGCGCAACAAGAACATAAAACGCATTCATACAAACCAATCATCTTTAAATTATCTCTTATGCTCTGCGCGTACTGAAACTGTCCGATAGGTCCTTGAGTTTTTCTAATAATGTACGGACGAATACTACTATATCCTTTAAAAAAATGAGCCATGTCTACTATTAAATCTCTCATCACATACATATGTGGTATAGGATATAAGGTAATCACTTTACTTTCAGGAATTAGTGTGATGCAAGCGAGACAGTTCCGCCCTTGTAAGTTGACAGCGCAAGACCCACAAATACCTTCTCTACACGAGCGACGGAAAGAAAAGGTTGGGTCCATATCTTTGATCTTAATCATTGCATCCAAAAGCATTTTACCGCAAGTACTGATATCCAAGTCGTATGATTGGATAGTCGGTTCCTTTCTACTAGCGATTCCTTCAAAACGATAGACTTTGAAAACTCTTCTTGGGCCGATATCTTTTTTTGGAGCTGTCGGTTTGTGGGAATAAAAGAATCGGCCTATCCCACGTAACTCACTATGCCATTTGTAAATACGCAACATGATTAATATATTTTACTAAATTAAGATAACTGTATCATTTCCTTGTATCAAAAACTTCGATATTAAATGTTTGAATTCTTGAACTTAAATGTCAATATTAAAAATTGACAGTGGAATTTTAATCATAAATACGTTTTTATATATGTCGGAACTCCCTGTTTGACCACATTTTATTTAAATTAAAACTCTTTACTTTGATCTATAAAAATATTATATTTATTTTTTTCATAATTTCTGATATAACTTGTATAAAATCCCTTGAGCAAAATCTTCCAAAGCAAGCGTTAATACATCACGTAAACTTTATCAGAAACTGATAAACTTATTTCATTAGTTATTAAAGTAAATCCTATCGGAATCTTGATTATTAAGAATATGTACTCAAGATTTTATACACGTACCAATATAGAGAAGTTATTTAATTAAATGTTTTATTAAAAAACTAGCTGTTGCTCGCGACTTCATTATCATAAAAGAAACAAACTATAACTATTGCGTACATCAGCCAACTTCCATTAAAAGTTCTGCCTAAACTAATCCAACTGTTTCGAGGATTATCCAAAGAAACGCGGCCTTGATAAATAGAAAAGAGGACAGACAGATTTTATTACATTAAATCATTCATAGTTATGACCGTAGGGTCTGTACGACTTATTAGCCGTCACCTCTTATAAAAACCGATAATTCAGTTTTAATATAAATTTGCTAAAACAGTACTAGAAAAAGAAAATTTTGGTTGTCGCTCAAATCTCGAACGGCTTGGAAATTGACCAAAAATAGACATTTTATTTCGTTATTTTACGGACCCATGTACAGCTGTAGGCAAGTGTCAAAGGAAGTCGTGTAATAGGCAATTTCCTGCAGGACTTCTCGTGACAGGCCAGATTTCCGTTAATCATTTCTTTGTTGTCCAACAAAGAAGTTCCGTTCAAAAATATAGATTATGAAGTCAACTAATAGACAAGAATATGTAACTTTTTAATTTGAAAGTTTACTATTTGATGGTAATATAATAAATAACAAATATTTCTTTGTTGCTGATAAGTTGAAACTTAGTAACTTTAACTCCTAAACAAAAAAATGTAGATACTGTTACAAAAAATAATCGTTCACTACCATTTGTGTTTCGTAATTATTTCGAGATTTTTAACCACTAAAAAGAAAGAGGTTTTCAATTAACTTGTATGTTTTTTGTTATTAATATTATAGTATCAGAATAGTAAATAATTTATACGTTACTTGTATGTTTATCAAAAAAATAATATAGTAAAATATTGAAAATCCAATAAACTCTTAAAAGCTTGGTATGTCGATGGTAAATAATTCTGCAGGATGAAGCGGGAAGAGGATGTGTTTATGTCGGAATCTTGAATAAATAATACAATGAAAGCTCCTAAAATAAGATCAGAATAACGTTTGATTTTATTACGTTTATAATATATCTTGCTTTGTTTACGATCAGCATTAATTTAAACTTGTATCAACAAAAAATGTTATTTATTATGTTTAACGAATTGAAAAAGTTTCACAAGCAACAAATATTATCATGAAACAAACGGAAATTATTAATTACTTGTATAATGAAATTTGCAAATTTTTTTCTCGCAGCATAAATTTAACGACAAAACTCTTACGAGTTCTCAAATTAATGTTTTAATACGAAGTTGTGAACATTTCCCATCAAATAAATAATTTTGTTTATTTCATCTGAACAACGACTTTGTACAATTTAATACAAAGTTCAATTACGGTCAAAATATTTTAAGTACAACAGTTATTTTTCGGTTCTACGTATGTAACTGCGTAGAATAGGCGTAGTTAAGCGTAGAATAGTGCGTAGCCTTCTCGCTACGCCAAGAGTACACAAGACTGATTGTAGGTATCGTAACCATAGAATTCCATTAACAAAAAAATTTTATAACTAAATGGTGGTATTACTACTTAAAGACTGAAGGAAACAGCATATGGTAAACAAAAGAGTTAATTCAAATATAGACCAGCTGACATTTTCTTGGAGATTGCCTAAGGTCCCTTTGTATCGCGTTTGTCATTCACAGCACACAATATCTTTGAACCGAATAGAGGTCTAGATGTGAAACAAGTATGCAAATATTAACTTCTTCAATTGCGTTGAAATTAAACGATACTTAATTATCTTTCGTATAAATTACGCGGTCCGAAATCAATTCAAATTGCGGCCGACATGGGGCGAGGGCGAACGGTGCGCGAAACGCCGTAATTGTGGCAATTACGCTCACGTGAACGCCTCGAATAAATTCTGAAACGTCGATAACAAACTTTATGAGACATCAACAAAAGTAACAAACTAGGTACGAATCCTCGTAAACTTACCTTAATGTTATTGGGTCACGGTTTTGCGGACAACGGGATATAACAACTTGGTAGATGGTTTACACACAATATAATACCCGCTATAGAATATCTAACTAAATGCTTTATTGAGTAATTCAATTTTTCAATTGATTTAAGAACCTGAAGAAAAAGAAGACGATTGTGTTTATCTTACTAAATATTATAAATGCGAAAGTTTAGATGGATGGATGTTTGTTAGAGTTTGTAGCCTTAACGGCTGAACGAATCACGATGAAATTTGGCATAAATGTAGAGGATAGTCTGGAAGAACACATATTATTTCACACGGGCGGAGTCGCGGGCGAAAGCTAGTAAAAAATAAATAAATAACGAAATCTGTCAATTAGAAATGCGTGACTTAATTGAAGCTTACCCAAAAGTCTAAATATCTCGCCATTTAAGTATTTAAAATCGATCACACTTTTTAGGTTGCAATGGAATGGACATTCGTAAATTCTGATACTCGTATACCTGCTAAAAAAACTCCAGTCAGACAAAATCAAATGTTTGTTTTTGTTTTATCTATTTGTAAATATCTTATTTTCGAGTCTAATTATTATTCTGTTACGTACTCTTCCGGTCGAGTCAGTACATTGGGTTGCCAAAAAATCTACCGTTGTTAAATAATGATCACTTAGCAACCCCTGGGACACGTAAGGGTTATTTAATGGATCTACATTCTTCAAACTAACGATCTAAATTGCTGATTTATTCGTAATGTATTTTGTTTCACAAATTCTTGTCTATTTAACATTTATTTTACAATATAAAAGCACAAGAAGATTTTGAAATACTTCATTACTAGCTTTCGACCGCGACTCCATCCGCGTGGAGTTATATAAAAAAAAGTAACTAGCCTACGTGTTCTTCCAGACTATGCACTACATCTATGCCAAATTTCACCGAGATCATATTCGTAGTTTAGGCTATTCTAACAAACATCCATCCATCTAAACTTTCGCATTTACAATATTAATAAGATTATTGGTTTATCTACATTATATAATTAGATTTTCTTGTATTATTAACTATAAACAAATAGTATATCTTATGTTTGATAACATAATATCAAAGATCTCATCGTGTTTTGATTATCTTGTTAAGATAAGTATACGTAAGGGAAAACCGTTGAACCGTAAAGTTTCTCCTCGTTATGCGATAACTCAATTACTGAGGCTCGTTCTTGTGAAAAACTTCACTCTACAAACGTTTTAACATGAAAATACTAAGGTATTTAGTATTTTATTATCGATACTTGTATCTTGTGTCTTTAACAATTGCATTAAAATGAATTAAGGTAAATAATGGAAAGGTTCTTTGTGTATAATATCATATATAACTTAAAAATACATTAAAAACCTCTCAGTACTAACTTTTTCTTGATTCGATACACTCTCGGAGGCAATCTTCAAATCTGTTCGCCCTTTCATCTCGCGTCGCGGCACGAATCGAGTAAAGTACATACTTTTTATTTGGAACGTGCCATAAATGTTGAAAATGTTATTTATTATTTGAATACTTTGCAGAGTGATAGCTGATGTCTTTATTTTTTCGGTTCGGAGGTCTTATCATGAATATTCGTGTGAACGTTTTCGTAATGTCATCGACAAAATTTGTATTAAACTGTATTAAATCTGACGTTAGGAAAATGTCCTCGCAATTATCACGCGATTTTCGTGATAGCCCCTTTGCTTCGTTTTCTTTAGAAATGTGTTTAAAATGTTTGCTCACTTGTGAAATAAACCCTCTTAGGGATTTTACTCCTAAGGATTAAATTTGTGTATCATATAGTTATCGACAAATATTTACATTTTTAAAGTAGAGAAGAATATAAATGAAACATTCGGTATTTGAAAATAAAAACCATTACCATTACCGTTTAAAACTGGTACGCACTGATTACGCGGTGTAACGTTATAAGTTACATGACGAGCATAAGTAGAAAGTAGTCAGTGCGTAGTGTTAGGGGAGCATAAACGAACAACGGACCTCTAGTTCCGTTTGTCAGACCTCGTAACACCGGTCAGGACCCAGTTTTATATTTCCACCTGGTTATTTTCTAAATATCTACATGTTTTGTAAACTCAAAGTGGACCCCATTAAGTGTATCATATAATTGATAGGCACTTTAACGCCGCACCCCAGGGGTACAATCTACTCAGCAAGCGATAGGTACGGACGTAAATATTTTAAGAGGGTTTTGATGAAACCATTAAGTTAACTTATCGATATCCCTTTAAACCCTCCTACGTGTTGATGGTCCAATCTGCTTATATATGCAAGACCCAATCACGCAAGGTATACCCTAAAGAGTTCCTTAAAATGCTAAAATATTTATAAAAATTTTTAAGTCGTCGAAGTGCGAACTAATCTCAAAAGACCTTCAATAAGTAGGTTTTATTTTGTTTTCTGGTTTTGAATAAGTTTACGAAATACAAGTATTTCTTTCCAGAAAACCAAACCGTACCTCTTAACCTATATTATTATACCAAAAAAATAGTTACACACTGTTTAGTTATTGGCCATGATCGCATTTTACAAGCTTACGCTTAAAAATGTTCAATAACCATAATTTGTCAAAACCGACACCCGCCGACATAAAAGGGTTAACGTAATGTTCAACCTAAAACGTAGTTAAACACTCTAACTTTTTATAATAAAGCTCATAGTTTTTAAACTTCAATAACTTTCTATAGACACATCAATCATCTGAAAACATAAAACACCAAAGATCCCTGTGTATCGTAAATATTATTAACTGCTTTAACATTTTGCAAATGTCAATCTTAATCAACAGTGTAAAGGTTTCTTTTCCCTTCTCAATTGATGACGATATCGTTGCAAATATAGAGTTAGCTTTCTTTAGATTGAACAAGATTAATTCGCCTTACTCATCGTAATTTATGGCTTCGAGTATCATTTTATTTTGTATATTCAAAATTATGGTGATACGAATGACTGGCATGAAATAAAATACAAAGTGCTGTTTATGTTTTAGACAACAATAAAATACAGAATAAGTGTTGCTATTTTTAATATTTCGAATCTTTTGTCTCGTCTATTAATACATAGATTGAATATATTTAATTAAAATAGAGTTTAGCTGTTAAAAAAATATCGAGGTCATTCAATAAAAATACACATCTCTATTAATTATTAGTTTGGTTTGTCTCCTATCAAAATTGATACTACCTTCGTAATACCCGAATAAATCAATTTAAATCGTTACCTACTAGCACTGTGACAGGAAGATAATAAAATTAAGTCAGCTATGGCTCCGAAACCGTGTGTAATTAATTTAATTCCTTCACTTTGTTCCTGTTTATTATCGAATTTAGATCATCGATAGCATACATGATAAAGTCAATCTTATTCATCTTCAAGTTTTCCTTACATAGTTATAACTTAATCGTAACTTAATTTTATTCAAAATATTGCTAAACTTAGAGTTATGTCATATTGGGCTGACCAGTCTTTTAGTGTTTTTTTGTGAAATTCATTTCTAAGGGGCGCCGTTAGTGACCGAAAAACTGCGCGGCCGATAGACGTCCAATCGTATCAGTATATTAATGAATTAAAATAATATTTACAAACATCTCTACAAAAAAAACATCTTTCATGTGTTATTTCAGACTATCCTCTATATCTAACCAAATTTCATCGAGATCCGTTCGGCAATTTATGCTACAAACTCAAAAAATCGCATTTATAACATTAGTAAGATTGACAGTTTTTCCGCTTAGAAATGACAATATTGCAGCGTTCGTGATATTGCAAGACGTCATAAAATTTTATTCCCAGATCTAGTGAACGAATGACTTAATTTAGTGGAAAGTTCTTTTGCTGGAGTGGGATTTTATTGCGTCGTAAAATTGAATTTTCTTTTCTTTTCAACTACTTTAAAAGCAATATACTTTCATTTATGAAAAACATTGTTCGAATAGGATTTAGTCGTAAGAAACTTTAGCTGTAAACAAAGTTGTTTTAAATACAATTTGTATAGTGCATCGTTTTATTTATCGTGCTGTTAGTACATGCAGATGTATCATACCAACTAATACAATATTATAAATGTAAATCTTGGATGGATGGATGGATGTTTGATACTACGTATCTCCCGTGGCTTAACGAGTCTCGTAGGAAATTAACATTGATTTAGATTTTTTATTTTTTGTTTTAATTTCGCGCAGATAAAGTCGTAGGAAAAAGCTCATATCTATATATTTTGTACCGAAGCAAATAAATATCAAATTGTAAATTCTCTCTCATTCGTCCATATTTTACGATAATTTGTCCACTTTTGTAGCGAAAACATATGTAATTTTTTTCACATAACTCCCTTGAGGCGGAAAATACACTAGATCGTCCAATAAACGTCCAAATTATATTTGCCAATCTAATTTGTTCGTCCGTCTGACGTAAATAAATGTCGAGCGGGTCACATGGGGAATTTTTATTGTTTGATTTAGGCAACAAAACGTACTGGACCTTACAATTTGAGTGAAATTTATTGGTAGTAATTCATATATCGAAAAACATTTAGCACCTTCGCAGACTAGACGTTTAGAAAGAGCGTATACCTTTCATTAAACTGTCGCACGACTGTTGTGCGATTGTCGATTCGATGGACAAATAAAAATCGAGTAGTGTGCGTACCTTTATTTAAGCTCATAGGAATCAAAGCGCGAATAAACAGTTGTGACTAAATATTAAACATGGATAAGTCTTGTCTTAGTATCATAAACCTAGGCAAGAGGTTTAGGGTCAATTAAGGATAGGAAAATATAATACCGAAATAATATAATAAGGGATATCATAAATCTTTTACTTTTAGAGCTAAATTTCATTAGCAGGTGTCGAACGCCGTAAAACTGAATTTATTGCCAGCTCTAAACGAGGATGACTAATCAAATGGAAAACTTATTTAACAGATAGTGATCTTTATTATATAAACCCTTTCACGTTGGATATCAAAACCGAATATTCTTAAAATAACTGAATAAACAGATTTCGCTGAAGCATTAGTTAAAAAACAAATGAATAATGTTGACTTTGCATATAATTCTGCGTTTTAACAAATCACCGAGAAGTATCTAGATACTAATTTGTCCTTATCCCCATTATTTATCTACTAGCTATTCATTAAATTATAAAAAACTTTGCTTGTTTACATTTGTGAAATTCTCAAATGCAAATGTCAAAATTCAAATGCAAAAAAGACAATTTATATACCACTTAATTCATTTACCACTTAAGCTTAACGGCGTGAAAAGTTTTTAAATTGAGTCGATACTTTCAAGTTATTTGCTGAAAATATTTCTCAATCATCATAATTAATACATATTTTGCGTTGCTTTTTAATAAAAGGTGGTAAAAATCTTCAAAAGATATTCTATATTCAAAGGTTTAAATATGATTATGTTAAACTTGATTCAGTGAAAAATTTAAAAATAAAACTTTAAAATTTTAGAGCCGTATTTCCAGTTTCGTAGGTGTCGTGTTTCAAAGACTGTAGCTATCAAAAGCGTACGCCAGCATTCATGTTCACTGGCCGTTAAGAAAGTAAGGAAACATGTCCAAAGGAAATTGATTGTTATCTCGCCTCTTTTCAAACGATTTTACGCTTTAACTTTTAAGAACCGACAAAAGGGATTCTAAGGTACAAGTACATATTAAAAAGGCTAAAAACAAAACTATGAAAAACTTTTATTAAAGCAACTTTTTTTACAAAGACATTAATCTTAAAGTGTAGTAAAGTTAACTACTCTTTATTTCTCTTTTTGCCCAGCAATAGCCATTTGTATTTCATTAAACGTTTTCCCTTTAGTTTCTGGTATACAGTAAAACGTAAACAAGCAACTCAATGCGCAAACAACAGCAAAACACCAATACGTTATAGCTGGGCCGACCGCAGTTGTTAACGCAACCAGATATTTGGAACTAATGAAAATGCCCAAAGCAGCAAACATTATGCTGATTCCAGCGCCAAGTGCTCTCGCTGGACCGTCGAACAACTCCGCCACTAATATCCATAGTAACGTTCCTATACCTGAGGGCAAAAATCACAGTTTAAACTTACTCCATTGGCGTAGCGACCACGACCTTTGACATAAGATGACGTCAAGAACAGCTGGGATATGTTTTAAACAGTAAAACAGCCTATAGAGACAGTACGGCTGGCTACATATAATTATATTTTAATAGTAATGACGTAATTCTTACCTGCGCTGTAACAAAATATTACCAAAAACAACGATATCAACGGTAAATAATTCATAAAACCGGATATCTCATTCCCGTTCTCACGTACTTTAAAAAATGCACCTAAACCGACCTGAAAAAGAAAACTATTGTCAGTAGGAAAAATCGCAACTATTTCTTTATTATTTTTATCATGCGCACATTTTTGACTTAACTGTCGCACAACTTTTTAATCACGCTTTGATTCCTGTCAGCTTATATGGAGGTCAGCACACAGCAAACAGATAAATTTGCTACGAAACAATCGACAATCGCACAACAATTGTGCCATAGTATAGTCAAAGGTTTGCGCCCGCTATTACATTTCATACTAAACCAACTCTTACCATTCCTATAAGAATACCAGAGAAAGATATCATTAATATGTGCCTTCTTTTAAACCAATGAGTTGCTGGTGTCGAACAAAAGCTTGCAAACAGTTGAATCAAACTCATTATTACCGATGCCACTTCTGGCATTACATTAGTCTTTGTAGATTCCAATATCGTTTGCAAATAAAACGACACCGCTGTGAATCCAACTAGTTGTGTAGAAAATGCAAACACCACAGATATACAAAGCGATTTTAAGAATATTGTATTCTTGATTAATTTCATTTTATTAACTTTCTCATTATTCATTGAAGACGCGTACATAATAATCTCTTCTTTAGCCACTTGTTCGGAACCATGAATGGATTTTAAGATTTTAATTGCTTCGTCGGTCTTTCCTGAAATCATAACCAATTATTTCAAATTGTAATTAATATTATACCATAAGATAAATCTAATTAGTAGTATTTTTTTTAAGAAAAGTTATTTTTTTAATCTATTACATCGAAGTTTATTGTATGTCAAAAGTTTTAATCATTTTAAAATTGCAACTTTTCACAATTTTCCTAATCCATACAATTTTTGGACAATAGTTTGTCAATATCAATTACATCGCTTTGTCTTTTCTATTTACAATACTAAAAAAAAAAACTTACCTTTAGAATGCAAGAAGTATGGACTATCAGGCAAGAATAATATCGGAATACTAGTAATGAGGTTTAACACAGCAAATACTATACTAAATGTGGTATATGAGACAAACGGGCCAATCGACATTGTCAGGATACAACCGATTGAGGAAAATACTTGAAGAAATGTGCAGAGAGCTCCACGCAGGTGTTTCTGTAAAGAAACATTATTAATTGATACAAAATGCTCAAAACATTAAAATTCAAAACAACGTTAATGAACAGAGAGTAAGACATGGGATAACAAAAATGACAGAGCGTACATAAAAATAAATGTATCTACAAATAGACAATTTAATAAATTATTAAGCAATATTTATAGTTTCAGAGACAAATAATTAATTTTACAAATGATCTTACATCAGAGATTTCCGAAGCATAAACTGGAACAATCGTAAGCAAGAAGTAATCCGAAATGCCAATGATAGCACGTCCCAAAATCAATACCCACACATCCTTCACGAAGATGAAAAGAATGCTCATTAACACCTTCGGTATACAGGTCAGTAGTACGCAGTACTTTCTACCGATGTAGTCTTGTAGCATACCAAGGACACTAAGAGCTGAAAACAAAAATTTTAAGCTGAAAACTTTATACTTATAAGCTAGGGCAATCGCTTCTTGCTTCGTTGATCGCTTGGTGTGATTTCAACAAAGAGGTTGAATGTATGAGAGTTTAATAAAGGACTATCAACACAAGGTCAAATACTCATCGCTTTGAAATGACTCCTTTGGGAATATTGGATCACATACATCTGTAGACTCGCAGACATATGGATGCGATTTGCCTTTACTGAAGGGACCGATTCTGCCTATAAACTTATGTCGGCTACACCCAGGTTCCTTACAATCAGACAAAATCCACCTCTTCATACACATTTAGATTTGCGCAACTAACGGGATAGTATTAAAAATACAGTAATACATCCTGTATCACCGACTTCTTTCCATACAGAGACATTTCAAAGATGCTTCCTATTGGCTACTGTTCCATGTTTACGTCTCAATGTGTACAAAATATTCAAACGTCTATAACTTATAAAGTGGAGCATCACAACCAGATTCCCTGATATTAAATACAATTTTAACGTTTGTACTAGGTTTTACTTGTAGTTTATGTAAATAATCTTAGATAAACTTACTGAATATGTTGCATAGTGATGCAATGGAAACTATCCATGATCCCTCCTCATCGGTTATTGGTCGACGTAAAGGCGTTTCCGTGGCGTTGCGGAGTTTGACCAGCACTGGCGATGACCATGACAGACTCATCCCAGTTGTTATCATGGTCAGGTTCACTGCAAAACATAGTATTTAAAAAATCTCTAAAACATGTAAAAATTTTAACACTCTCACTGCGGTTGCGTTGCCTGTAATTATATGTATACAGCGGCGTACAGGGAGTCATGGAAAAAATAGTAAGAGCTCACAACGTGTTAAAAACAATTTAGTATTTTAATTCTATATCGCGAGTTATAAATATCCATACTTACCTATACCTATTATAACAAACTGTCTAAATCGAGGAGATTTGTACATGATTAACACTGGCACTTTCACAATGTTGATGATGTTTTTGTTCTTTTTTAAAAATATTATATAAAAAAAATCACTAACCTAACTGAAACACAACTACTTTTAGCGAGTTCTTAATACAACTGTATAACCGTAGACATTACACTTATAATCTATGTTTTGTTAATTTTTATTACACCTTTACAGTGTCTAATCGCATCTTAATATGTGAAACAAGGTATCATATCGGAGCTTGTGTTCTTATTTAAAGAAGATAATGTAATGTCCGGGATTTAACGTGATTTTTTACTTTCTATTAATAAAAAAAATGATGCCTGTGTAGTAGCAACTGCAAAGCAATATCGGCTAAGCTGTTAAAGATATAGGGAGGCTAACTTCTAAAATGATGACCAAACAATAAGGCAATAAGTGGTTTTGGATTGGCCACACAGTCACTGGAGTTCCCACTCCTATTCTCCGGGAAGTATTAGTGTCACAAGGAACATCCCTAAGTACTGTAAATAAGAAAAATATTTAAACTGACCCGGTGTTTCTTCACACCTTACTCTCATGACCTTCTAAATAAAATACGTTGAACGTCTCTTTAAGCTGAAATAAAAGTCACAAAGTATTAATAATATTTACTGTTATGATTATCCTTACTTAAGGTTTACACTGTTGTAACACTTTTATAATATGTCCCTTTTCTTCTCGTTGAAATAACAGAGATAGAAATATATTCTCATACTTCGACAATATAAACTATCAAGCATAATCTTGATAAACAAAGATTTCTTGTTTAATCGTATTTGTCTAAGATAACTGTCTCAAAGGCGTATGTCATAACCACTTAAATCTATTTTAAGATAATGTTAACAAAATCCTTAATAAAAGTTTAAGAATAAACTATTTGCATTGCAACATTATTACAACATTTGCGGTAAGTCTCCATTGTAAATAAAATGTCATGACAATATTGCCGTCCTCCTCATTCTGTTTCAAAAAACAGAGATAACAGTATTGTTCGAGCACTTGCTACGACATGTCGATTTTAGGCAGAAGTCTTAATGCAACAAAGAGTACTTGATAACATTGTAAGTTATTAATTTTTGTATACCATTAAGAATTTGAATATTATATTTTTAAAGAAAATATTATTTTATATATAGAAATCAGATTTTTTATTTATTCATACTCTACAACACGGGCGTGAGCAATAAAATTTGAACGACAAAATAGTATATATTTGAAAAGCATCGTATAAATATGAAATAAAATAACTTTGTTAAGATTAACCGATTGTCAATCTGCACGACTACTATATGTAGAGTCGGGGAATCTGGCGGTATTCTACCTTAAAATCAATGGTAGTTTGAACGTTTCGTACGCATTGTGAAGACGACGTAGAGTAACCAATAGGACGGAGTTTTTAAATGTGTCTGTACGAAAATTTACGTGGTCTCCCACTGACGCAGTTAATTGTGTTTTTGACGTTGCCGTAACTCACTGCTACTTAATTTTTATTTGTTAGGTGCGGGGTTTGTTTGATGCAGAACAAAAAAACTTTATTGCTGACCACCGCAAATTTCCACGACTGTACATACAAAAGCATACATTTAAAACATTCGTAAGAGAGTAAAATAACATCCTTTATAGTCGAGTAAAGATGAATTATGTCAAGTAAAATGTTATGTTCTTAACGTTATTTTTTCTAACATTTAATCCAAACAAAAAATGATTTGTAATAAAATCCCTAAGCTGAAGTAAGACAAGTAAATTGAGATAAACATCGACAATGTTATGTGAGGGTCTTCAATCCAATTACCGTGTACGCTCGTTGTTAAAGCTCAAAGCAAATTGATTGGCAGGAAAATGGGGATTAATATCTTGGTCACGTATACGCCAGTATTATTAATAATAAAAATAACATTTAATAAAATATTCATGTGAAAATTATGAAATTTCAATACTTGAAACACTTCTAATTTCTTCCTCTGTCGATTAAAGTTATATAAACATATAAAGTTATGGGAGATATAAAAACATATTTGAAATATAGTTACCTCATCTTCAGTTTTTACTATCTCAAACATCTACAAAACATATTATCAACCACATTTCCTTTATAAAAAGATAGGAATAATGATAATGTTTTTACTATGTTTCGTCAGTGGAAACTCATAGTTATACAAGTTTATTTCGTAGCACCTGAGGTATAAAGTTTATACGATCTCTAACGAACGTATACTAACGAGCTAAAACCGCAGTAACGTTGTCTTGGCTTACGAATCCATTTATTGTCTGTGGTCTGAAGCGAAGAGATTTGAAATGAGATATGTGAAAAGTTTTGAGTTTTAAAATAACAATAATTAATAAAGCTCAAACAAATGCAAATACTAGCAGTCACCCGTGACTCCGTCCACGCGAAATATTAAAAAAAACAAAGCCAAAAGTAAATTTGTGCCAAATTTCATTGAGATCCATCCATGTAAACCTTTGCATTTATAATATTATAAACAACAAAATGGTGCGTGTATAGACGTAATAATATTTCTATTATCACGCATGTTGCCATGAGTTTGTATAGAAATTAATTCTCATTATTTTATAAACTTCACCATTAATAATTGTTAATTTAACTAGGTACATACATCGATTATATGCCATGGACATGTACACAAAGATATCAAATACCCATCAATGTAAACATCGCTTGTAACAGTAAATCAGTCGAGCGAGTAGCTAGTGTAAATTACATTCGACGTGCTTCGAAGTAACAACGATTTATTTGTTTTAGAGCTGCTTACAGAAAGTCTTTGTTAAACAAGAGGTCGGCGTAACCGGTTAATTATACCATACCGAAGTAATATTTCATAATAAGGCTCATCTCAGTCATCTGTGTTACAGTAAAGGATAATCCTAAAACAAAACTGATTGGAGATACTTCGATATTATATCGATATAACTCTGATGATGTTCCCTTTTTCCTTTGCCTCCTTTTCATAAAAAAAACATATGGAACCAAAACTCATAAAACAATATTCTCCTGAGTCAGTTGGGAAAAGATTGCGATTTCCCTCATTTCGTTGTGTTTAAACGTACTTACACGTTAACATTTTCTTTGAAATAAATGTTAGTGGCGACATAATTGCGGGTACAAACGGTGAGTCCCGCTTTAATGTTGCCACTTTGTACATGATTTACTTGAAAAATGTCGTAGACATAGAACGTAAATGTTTCTAAACGACTGCGCAAAATTGTACAACAACCTATTTATTTTTGAAACATGAAGCAAAATGTCTTAAAGTGGGCGCACAACTTTGACTAAACCATCGCAGGACTGTTGTGTGACTGTCGATTGTTTGGAGCCAACTCTATTGTTTAGATGCACTACAAAAAATCGAATAGTATGCCCAACTTCATATAAACAATAAAGGAATCAAAGCGCCTAAAGAGTTGTTCGATAGTTTAGTCAAAGGCATCCGTTACTTACGTTATAAATATTTGCAGTATTGAATAATATTTTCATAAGTATTAATTTTTCCTGTATGCGGCTTTTGTAATAACATCTTTTACAAAGAAACGCTATTCCATAAGATTCTATAACACGTAGACAGTATTTTTAGCATTATCATCTTTTCTTTTGTTTTTCATTTTGCAACGTACTATTATTATAGCCATTTTCCTTGGAAACAAACAAATATTGCTCGCTACGGAGAACTGCAAATCAGCATGACTCGACACTTATGAGAAATAACTTTGTTTTGATGACTTTTGATTATTGAGTACAAGAAAATGGAAGAATGCGTATACTTGACAGTAAATTTATATTTGGGGAGATTGCTATGAAAATATAAAAGTAAAAATAATGATTTTCTGTGGTAACAGTTATGAACATTTATGTGCTATTTTAATTACAATAATGTTAATTGTTTGCATATTTGTTTTGATCCGTTTTTTATTATTTGTGTGAATCGGAAAAATATATACTCAAATTAAACAATAAAATCGAAAAGCAGAAATACAAAGCGGATGAACATAATGAGAAAACTCTTTTGAAATGGAAATTCAAAAGTTATTGTTTCCGGTTTCATTACGGTCTGCCAGCGCTATGACTTTGCAATATTCCGTCAGTACAAGCTCTTAAGCTTTGCATTTGATTCAACTCTGCAATTCAAAATCTCTAACAAATTCTCGTTGACTTAAAATGAAACATTCATAAATGTGCAGTTTACATTTGCATTTCATATGCAGTTATCAACTCAAGGGCTAGAACGAAAATTTCCGAGATATGTAACTTCATCGACAAAATTAGTATGAGATGTGTCGGTATACTTTTCGTCTTTAAATTTTGTCGATTTGTTACAAATACGTTTCTGCAAAATTTCGTGCTAGGCCATTTCATGTTGAACTATTCATAATCGTATTAACACTGAGAAAAGTCATTTTTAATATAGTGTTTTTTTTTTTCAAAAATGAGAAAATAATGTAATATATTGTACTACTAATAGCATTACTAATCTACTTGATCTAGGAAACAAAATATTTGTTAATTTAATTAGGATTTTTCAACTTATAATAAGAGAATCATAAAGTAATAATACAAATTCACAAAGGTAAATAAATACCAACAAATATAAAACAAGACTTTTCTTAAGTATTTAATATAAGGATTATCCTTCTTGCAAATTAACTTGATCACACCTTAAGCGTGCGTTCGCACGGGCAGACTTTGTACGCCGCGGTAAAGTTCAAGGTCAGCAGACTTTTTACGCCCACGAGATAGGTGTTCG